TTTAGTAAAGAATTTATGGTTCACTAGCTTGCATATTCTAACACACATTCTCTATCATTTGTACAACTTATCACCATCAAATACTCACTATTTTAATCACCATTCCAAATGTACTTCGAAAGTTAGGATGCTTTTTACTTGGACTGTTTTCAGTCCCAGAACAGACCAGACCAGACTTAAACAGATTATACTGGATCAGACCAGATCAGACAATATCAGACTTCTGTAGTTATAAATACAAAGAGACCAAACATTTACTAGACTAGACCAGACTTAAACATACAAGATCATATCAGATCAAACTTAAACAAATCATACCAGATCAGACTAACAAATTACAATCCAAGTTAAAACATTCTTAATTTATGGGTGGAAGGAGTATTAAAATGAGAATTGGAGTTTTAATTTGGACAGTTTTTGAATCGGCCTATCATGAGTTCATCAGTGCATGTAAGAAGCTATGTAGGGTTGGACCTTAGTAGAGACCCGGGGGCCATGACCCCCCCCCCCCCCCCCCCAAAAAAAATCATTATATATATGAGAGAAATAAAATTGACCCTCAAAATATAAGTAATTGTAATATTTGTTTTCACAAATTTTAATTAAATATTTACGAAGGGTAAAACAATGCAAGAAGTCAAAAAATTGAAATTAAAAGTTAAAAAGTAACATGTAGTCTATGTGAATCTACTAGGAATGATTGGGTGCTCTTTTAAACAATATCTGAAAATTTGAGGGCAAGCGTAATTCCTTTTTTTAAAAGAAAACGTCAAACTATATTAATTTAACCAATAAATTGGAGTTACGATCAGCCAAATATTCGAAAATTCAAACCCAATTCCTAAAAATTGGAGTACAATCAGCCAAATTGGAACTGAAAATAATACAAGTAAATACATCCTAAAAATTGTGACGCTACGGCCCTTTTGCCCCTCTTGAACTGATCACAACGCGGTGGATAGCGTATGAAGATTGAGCTTGAATTGATAGAATCGGATGTATTATATTATTTCAGCATTTGTGTTTGTGAATTTTGATGTTATGATTTTTATTTAAATTAACGTCGGTTATTTAATTTGTTAGACTAGTATCCAAAAAATTAACTACTAGCGCAAAAGCAGGTCTCCTTGTTCCTAACGACTTTAGTTTATGATTTCTTTCCGCCGCTTTAAGCGTGCGGGTTTAGTTTTCTCCGGCTGACTTTATGTTATGTTTGTTGCTCGATGACTATTTCGTACCGGTCGAAGTTGGTAAGGTGGAATCACGGAGATCGACGTCTCGCGCTCGGAACGAAATGTGGCCGGATTTGTGAGATCGGCATTTAGCTTTGTTATTTGGTGTGTGGATAATTGGAATATTTGAGTTCAGCGGCTGTCTGATCAGACTTAATTTCTAGTTTGAGGGTAGCCGCAAAGGCGGGATACACCTCCTCCTAAACCACTGCCTTGGAGCGGCCGCGTGACTAGGGTGTAGAAGATAACACTTCGAGGCTCGCCTGAGATTCTGAAAAAGTCTTTCTCTCCAAGAGGGAAAGATCAAGCTTCTCGTAATTCTGGGGAAGCAATTTACCTCTACTAGTTTTGGTTTTCTTTTAGTTTTTGTGTTGGTCAGATTGTCAAGTTGATTGTGTTTTTGTTTTACTTCTGTCAGACTCTGGAGTTTGGATCGGGTGATGGAGAGTTTATTTTGATAGTCTTTGACTCAGTTTTTGTGTGAGTCATATTGTTTTGTTTACTCATCCAAGTTCCGATTGTTTAATGTGAACCGTTCTCTTTTGATTAAAAAAAAACTATTTGGCTGATGATTCCTCCCCGATTAATCCAAAACTTATTTTGAGGAGCACTTTGATCCTTTTTTTTTGAACGGGAGCACTTTGATCCTTGAAAATTCAAATTTTGAATCTGGTAGTGGATGTCTTTTATGGAAACAAAATCTCCACAAATCTTTGTTGACAACTTCTTTTAGAATTCAAATAAATAACGGACAACACAAACTATTGGCAAATTATACCGTGCAACCGGCGCACCATGAGGATGGTACGCCCGGTTGTAACACGACGCAGCAAGCCTTGTTTTTTGTTTTTTTTTGTTAAAAATTGATAATAACATTTTTATTTTTGATCCGATTTTTATAAAATTTATATCAACATTTTTTATTTTTCATGATCTTTCAAATGAGACCAATATTGCTTATGTAATTTTAAGAAATTATCGAACAATTATATTAATGAGTATTGGATTATAAGGAAAATCGAATCTGTTTGGGAGATGATAGGTTTGTGAAATAGAAGATCAAATCTGTTTGGAAGTGGATCAGTGACCTCAGTTACATTTGATAATACATTAAGTTACATCTTTTTATGAGCGAGTTACATCTTTTTATAAGCAAGATACATCTTTTTATAAGCAAGTTACATCTTTTTATAAGCAAGTTACATATATATATATATATACACGAGTTGCATTTGACATGCCTGAGCGCGACTTACATATATTTACACGTAAAGTTACATATTTTTACATGTAAAGTTATATATTTATACACGCGAGTTACATATTTACACACACGAGTTGCATTTGACCTGTCTGAACGCGAGTTACATATTTTTTTACGTAAAGTTACATATTGTTACACATAGAGATACATATTTACACACATGAGTTGCATTTAGCCTGACTGAACGTGAGTTACATATTTTAACACGTAAAATTACATATTTTACACGCAAATGTTAATATGTTAAAATTACATAGGCAATATTGGTCTCATTTGAAAGATCATGAAAAATAAAAAATTTTGATATAAATTTTATAAAATTCGGATCAAAAATAAAAAAGTTATTACCATTTTTTAAAAAACAGAAAATAATATCCAATGAGTGCATGGTGTATACGCATCCAGGCTATTATACCTCTTTCAAGAGCCTTCTAGATTCATGCACCTTCGTATTGGATTAGATCAGCACAACCAATCTTAGGAAGTAAGTTATTATGCATTTAAATTATGCATTTAAAATAGATAAATTTAGATAATCTTTTTCCCTTGTCTTATCCAATTGCAAGTGGGAACCTAAAATTTTAAAAAAGCCACTATATACAATTATACTCCGTATATAAATATAAAATAAATATATCACGGGTGACTCATTCTTGATACAGCGCGAGAAGACCGATACGATCGGAGCATATAACCATGGCGGCGATGGACAACCCGTGGGGATCAACCGGCGGCCGGAAACCGGGAAGCGAACAGAAAACTCAGAAGCTACGGGTGATAGTTAGGCGGTCAACGGACAAGTTTGAAGAAGGGTTCGGGAAGACGAAAACGGTAGCCTCCAAAGGATACAGGCAGGTCATGAAAGGAGCCTCTGCTGGTGCTAATTGGTTCAAGATCAAATGGAACAAATCGAAGCTTAACAGGAACAAATAATATATTTTTTTAAAAATTCATCTTTCCCCAGTATGTAATTATCGTCTGTTCTTGTGTTAATTAATATATACTGATTGACATATAATGATTAAATATTATGTACTGATTCTCAACAACGTAATTGTTATGAAAGCAGTGAGGTTTAGATCACATCGTAGTAGATGATTGATTTTTTTTTGTATTTTACAACTATCAAGAAATTCCGTAGTGAATCATTTTTTGATATAGGAAAAAGGGTCGAATACACCCTCCTACTATATCAAAAACATCATTCTATTAAAAAAAGCATCATATAGACACACCTACTATTAAAAATCATCAACTAGGTCAAGTTACCGGATGACAACTCCCTATAGCAGGTCATTGGCTGATTTGACTAGAGGTGTGCACAAAACCCGAACCGAACCGGTACCGACCCGTCCCGTATGGTACCGAACCGAATACCGAGTATTTAAACGGTTCTATAGATTTTAATCCTGTACCGAAACCGTACCGTTTGAAACGGGTACGAGAGCGGTTCTAGATTTTGAGAACCAAAAAATATCGGACCGAACCGCTCTTCAATAATGCATTTGAATTTTTTTATATTTTTTCTATATCAATAATTCTAGACCAACAATTTTATACGGTTCCGGTGAGAAAGGAGTCTCAGGAGAGAAATAAGAAAAGATCTTGGTCATTAATAATCTTGATCCAATGACTCTTACGATGCAAAAATAACAATGGCAAATTGAGTAATTTTGTACAATACTGATAACTAATTAAAAGCAACAACGGAACTTAATGAAATCAAGGGCATAGAGGGAAAAGTAGTGGCGTGCAATAATCTCAATTAATATTGAAATCATTATTTCAAATTAAATCCCTAGAATTTCACACATCACGTACCATTGACTCCATTTAAATAGGAGTGTCCAACTAATTGAGTAAATATGTATTAATATTTTAGGATGAACCAACAATTAAATAACCAAGGTGACGTGTGCAACAACCAAAATATTAATGTGCATGAGGTTACTATTCAAAGTGCAATAGTTATCACATTTTTATTATCCCATTTTATAATTATCGCATTAATTAGCTAGGTCCAAATATTATATATATAAATGTTATTATTTATGTTTTATATGCACTTTAAAGTGGAGATTTGCACATTTGATAGTTTATTATTCGTTTCAAGTAATTAAATTGTATATATTTTTAACGTGCTCTATTAATAGTCATGAACACTTTTATGTATGTATGTTACTAAATCTGTGATGCACTTTTATGTTATAATTGTTCACTTTTAACTTACATTATAAGTTACACAAACAAAAATTGTTGGTCCAAAATAGGACGCTCGTAGGCTTTTAGGAAAGCTACGTACGACACTCAAGCAGGAATTAGGAAAGTACGAATATGGAAAGTTAGCCAGAAATAGCATGTCTGTATTTGAAATTCGAATTGCCTTTTATAGGCGATTACAAATGGTAACTGTCGAACATAATAATGACTAAATTAATTACAACATTAATACAGAATTAAACACATAATTAAGTCGCACATTAATTGTTGGCCGTTACTCTTCTTGGCTGGCAGGCTGGACGCTTGAGCTCCCTCCTGCTGGACTGGATGGTGGGCTTCCCGCTAGGCTGGAGGAAGGCTTCTGACCGGGCTGGAGGCAGGCTCCCGGGTAGGCTGGAAGGCAGGCTCCCGGGTAGGCTGGACCGCAAGCTTCCAGTTGGGCTGGACCGCAGGCTCCCAGCTGGGCTGGTGGTCGGCAGGCTCCTGGCTAGGCTGGAAGGTAGGCTCCCCACTGGGCTGGAAGGCAGGCTCCCGGGTAGGCTGGACCGCAGGCTCCCAGTTGGGCTGGACCGCAGGCTCCCAGCTGGGCTGGTGGTCGGCAGGCTCCTGGCTAGGCTGGAAGGCGGGCTCCCCACTGGGCTGGAAGGCAGGCTCCCGGGTAGGCTGGTCCGCAGGCTCCCAGTTGGGCTGGACCGCAGGCTCCCAGCTGGGCTGGTGGTCGGCAGGCTCCTGGCTAGGCTGGAAGGCGGGCTCCCGGGTAGGCTGGACCGCAGGCTCCCAGTTGGGCTGGACCGCAGGCTCCCAGCTGGGCTGGTGGTCGGCAGGCTCCTGGCTAGGCTGGAAGGCGGGCTCCCCACTGGGCTGGAAGGCAGGCTCCCGGGTAGGCTGGACCGCAGGCTCCCAGTTGGGCTTCCGCTCCTTGATTGCCCTGGTTGGTTGGGCTGACTCGAGCTCTGGGTTGCTCGGCTTGGGCCCGCTGGTCCAAGTTCGGGGCCTGGGCCGATTAGGCTCTGGGCCTAGTCCCATAACCCCATCACGAGTCCCCCACTCCCTTAGGTGAGTAGTAGACTCGGCTAAGAGGGAGTAGTTTAAGTCAGCTGCCGATTTAAAAATATTCACATATCAGGGAGCCATAATTGTGGATTATGGGAATCCCAGAATTTATGGAAATTCCCAAATTAAATCAGGCTCCCAAAAAAGGCTCCAAATAAATTCCTTCCTTTTCTTTTCTTTCCTTTTCTTTTCTTTCCTTTTTTTTTTCTTTTCCTTTCTTTTCTTTTCTTCCTTTCTTTTCTTTTCTTTCCTTTTCTTTTTCTTTCCTTTCTTTTCTTTTTCCTCTCTTTTCTTTTCTTTCCTTTTCTTTTTCTTTCCTTTCTTTTCTTTTTCCTCTCTCTCCTGGAACCCTGCGTGCGTGCGTCTTCTCCGAGCCGCCCAAGCGCCGCAGTCCTCATGCCGAATGGGCAAACCTCCGTCCGCCGCCCGGCGGCTCCACTTGGTTGTCCTGCCGTGCCAGGCGGCCTTCCTGTGCTAAGCGCTGATGGACGGCGTTGCCCTGGAGTCCGGTGAATCTGGCGGGCCGGCCGGCCTGGGCTTCCATTGTTGTCGGCGCAATCTGGCAGTCGTTCTACTTCTGGCCGGCATGGTGTCCTTCTAGCGGTGAAGGTTTCCACGAAGACGGCGTCCAAGGAGGCAACATCCGAGGTTTGCTGAGCGGTTCCCAGTCCGGCGGCCACTCCGGGTAGCGACAGGTTCTGAGGATGGATGTGCAGCCCCCAGGTCGGATGTGGCTTGCAATTGCGCCTCTCTCTGTTCGGGCGGGCCTCCATAATCCGGCGTCCCGACAAGTCGGTGGACAGTTTCCAAGTTGGGGGTGAATCTGTGTCAAACCCCCCAGGTTGAGAGCCTTACGTACGGCGGCGGCAGCTGAGCAATATGGCCCTTGTCGGACTCAGGGCCCTGGTGGCCTAGACGACGGCATTCCCAAGTTAGCATGAGCCTTAATTACATGAATCAATAGTTTGAGATCCAGGTTGGCGTAGCGACACCCCTCCATATCTGATGATCAACCTGATGGCAGGCTTCCTAGAGCGAGTGAGATCCTTTAGACCAAGTTGCAGGTCCATCCAAAGTTGGTGAGCAATCTACAAGGCCAAACCGCCTTATACGTGTGCCAGCTTTATCACGCAAGGGCCCCCTATTCCGAGTGCTGGTGAATAGGCCTCATTCGCCCAATGAAACAGACAGATTGTTAAATTTCCCCTAGCAAGGTTGGATGACCATGCTCCAGAGGCGGGCATCCTGGACTCAACTAAGCAACCCATGTCAGTCACCATCGGGAAGGCAAGTAAGTTGGGCGGACGTCCCCTGCAGCCCTGCTAGAGTTCGTGCAAGCAAAGGTCAATACTGAGGCTTAATGCAGGGGCCCCTAGGCTGTGTGCATGCATTTAGTGTACATGAGCCCCATTTTTCTTGAGTTCGTGACAACACATTTTCTTGTTTTTGCAGGTTTCCTTCAAGGCTGGGGGCGCATCTTGGACTCCTCATTGCTTCCAGGAGAAGCTCTTTCACGATTTTGACAAGGCGAAGGTCACGGTGACAAGCAGTGAGGCATTTGCAGAGTTTCAGGCCGCGACTACGTTTTCACACGTGCTTGAAGAATTGTGATGATGAGAAAGATATGGTTCCATTAAACTTGGCGACCACCCAACGGTATGAGAACAACCATGGATGGGATGGCACCGGAGTCCGGATTCCAAGAGAGCTGTTTGAGGTTCCAAGCAAATCCCATGATTAGACTATTATATATGATGGTGTCGGGTCTGTCCAGCCGTGACCTTGTATTTTGTATTTCCTTTGTTTCCCACTTGAATACTTTGTGGATGTTTGATTTTTATTTCATACGCCTCCTTTTCTATACTTTGCATTACGAATACTTAGCAATTTATTCGGGGATCTGGCTTCTCTAACCTCCCGGAGGCGGTTAGGCTGGCGTGGCCGAGCCTATCCGTGCCCCTCCTAGTTGGGTAGAAGTGATCTGTTCGCTATTGATATGGAATCAACAAGTAAGCGACTTGTTTGGCCAGCAAGGTCGGACATTGAACCGACGAGGAAGACCCTTAGGTCGGTATCCTGAACGTTCATGACCCGGGGGTCAGTCCTACTGTCACTTTAACCTGTCCAGTTTGCCCGGACTTGGGGAATAATCTGGTTACTCCCGCATGGATAGCCAAACAACAGGGGCGGACCCTGCATGATCCACCAGAACGAACCCGCACCGCCAACTCAGGGATGACGAGAGTGCGAGCTGCTTGGCCAGCGATGTTAGGCGGCGAGCACTCGAAAGGACCCGGAGGTCAGCATCCTGAGTACCCTCGACCCGGAGGCCGGCCCTACCGTCGCCTCGACTGTCGCGGCTAGCTCTTTACTTTAGAAAATTGCTCGGATTCTTGAAGATCGCTTGGCTATTTTCAGTTAAAGAGCCTGGCCGAGGTCGGCCAAACACCGAGGGGGGGCATAGTACCTTTTTTTTTTTTTTTTTTTTCGCCGCCGCCCTTTATTGCTAAGTGAGGTCGGACCTCTTTTGATGACAAAATATCGCTAGCGAAGTATATTGAATTCATGATGTGGGCGGACCACATGAAGAATTACAAATTGTAATCCCGTGCTCGGAGCACAGGAGTTTACAAAGAAAAGTGAAACTTCGATTTTCTACTGGTAAAACTTCATCAGGTGCTCGGCATTCCAGACGCGGTCTACCAACCGGCCTGTTGTTGTTTTCAACTTGTATGTCCCAGGGCCGATCACTGCGTCAACCACGTAAGGGCCTTCCCACTTGACGGAGAGCTTACCTCCCTCTGTCGGCCTGCTGGCCTTCCTACGTCTTAGGACATAATCACCGACGTCAAAACTCCGGGGTCGGGCTCGGCTGTCTTGGTACGCCTTGACTTGTCGTCGATAGTTTTCCGCTTTGATGAAGGCACGGTCTCTTCTTTCCTCAATGAGGTGGAGCTCGGCTCGGAGCCTCTCCTCATTGCTGGCTGGTTCAAACTCTTCTACTCGCCGGCTGGGAACTACGGCCTCGAATGGTGCCCTCGCCTCAAAACCATAACACAAGGCAAAGGGGTTCTCTCCTGTTGCCTTCCTTGGGGTTGTTCTGAAGGTCCAAAGTATATTGTTCAACTCCTCCACCCAGGCAGTCCCGAGGGCCTCCAACTTCTTTTGCAGTCCATCGACGATCGTCCGGTTGGTATTCTCCACCTGTCCATTTGCCTGGGGGTAGCAGACCGCAACTCGGCTGGATTCTACTCCCCACTCTGCACAGAATTGCCGGAAGGCTTCGCAGTCAAACTGCCTTCCGTTGTCGGAGATTATTTGGAGGGGAACCCCAAACCGGCAGAAAATATTCTTCCATATGAACTTCTTACATTGGAGATGTGTGATGCTGGCAAGCGGCTCAGCCTCAACCCACTTCGTAAAGTAGTCCATCGTGACGATGACAAACTTCCGGTTTCCCGACCCGGTTGGTAAGGGACCGACCAGGTCGACACCCCATCTTGTGAATGGAAGGGCGGTGCTGATCGGTGTGTACATCGTTGCTGGTCGGCCGGGGCTCTTCTGGAATTTCTGGCATGTCTTGCATCTCCTTGCATAGTCAGCGCAATCCTTCATTATTGTTGGCCAAAAGTACCCCTGGAGGACGACCTTCCTAGCTAACGTGCATGCCCCCTGATGGGCGGAGCATACGCCCCCATGGAGTTCAGAGACGATCATTTCCGCCTCATGTGGGCGTAAACACTTTAGCAAGGTCCCATTGTAGGACCTCTTGTACAACTTCCCATCCAAGACGACGTAGCCCGGAGCTCGTCGCCGGACTGACCTTGCCTCCTCTTTTCTCTCGGGGAGCGTCCCATCGGCTATGTAGCGCAGGAGGTCATCCACCCAACACCAGGCGACTGGTTGCAGAGGAAGGACGTCAATGGACGGTGAGGCTGATATGCTTGAGGTCGTCATCTCCTCAATGCGTGCAATTCTCGATATATGTTCAGGTAACCCTTGGGATAGCTTTGAGAGGAGGTCTGCATCGGAGTTTTGATTTCTCGGGATGCAGATCAACTCTGCTTGCTTGAACAACCCGAGCAACTCCCGAACAACATCTCGATACTTCATCATTCTTTCTTCCTTCGCTTCGAACTCACCTTTGACCTGTGAAACCACCAGACGGGAGTCACATTTCACCGTTATCCACTCTGCTCCCATGGCGGCCGCCAATCGTAGCCTAGATAGTAGGGCCTCGTACTCCACCTCATTGTTGGAGACTTTGAAAAGATAGCGGTAGGCATAGTAGGCTCGGAATCCCTCGGGTGAGATGAGGACGATTCCGCCCCCGCATCCCTTGGCTCCTGCCGACCCATCAGTCGCTAGAGTCCACCATTGTTCATTGCTCTCCTGTTGCCTATCTGCCACTTCTCGGGCCGTGCATTCCACAATGAAATCAGCTAGAGCCTGGCCTTTGATGGACGTCCGAGGCTGGAAGTCAACCTCGTATTGGTTGAGGAGCATCGACCACTTCACTACCCGGGTTGTGCCGGGCGCCCTCAGAGCGGCACCTAGGGGTTGGTCTGATAGGATTCTGATCGGGTGCGCTTGGAAGTAGTGTGTCAACTTCTTGGCGGTGATGTAGGCGGCATATATTGTCTTCTCGAGCGGGGTGTACCGAAGCTCAGCATTCTGGAGGGTCTTGCTCACATAGTAGACGGGACGCTGAACGCTTTCCTCCTCGCGAACCAGCACGGAACTGATTGCACCTTGGGAAACCCCAAGATAAAGGATTAGCGTCTCCCCCCTCTCCGGCTTGCTGAGTAAAGGCTCAGAGAGGAGGTACTTCTTCAGGTCGTCGAAGGCTCGCTGACACTCATCATTCCAGACGAAACCATTTTGTTTCTTTAGGACCTGGAAGAAGGGTAGGGACTTCTCGGCGGACTTGGACATGAAGCGTCCGAGGGCTGCTAGACGGCCGATGAGAATCTGGACTTCTTTCACTGACCTCGGGGGTTCCATGTCAAGTATTGCCCTTACCTTCTCAGGATTTGGCTCAATCCCCCTCCGTGTGACCATGTACCCCACGAACTTGCCTCCTTGGACGGCAAAGGTACATTTCTTCGGGTTCAGGCGCAGACGGACTGCCTTCATGATCCCGAAGATCTCTGCCAAATCATCTGCATGATCGGATGCCCGGGTGCTCTTGACGATCATGTCGTCAACATACGCCTCCATGTTCCTTCCGAGCACCTTCCGGAATACCTTGGCCACCATCCTCGTGTACGTCGCCCCAGAGTTCTTCAGCCCGAAGGCCATGACAAGATAACAAAAAATCCCCTCTGGGGTGACGAACGAGGTCTTCTCCGCATCTTCTTCATGCATGAAAATCTGATGGTATCCTCGAAAAGCATCCATGAAGCTAAGGAGCTCACATCCGGCCGTCCCATCGACTAGTTGGTCGATGTTAGGCAATGGGAATGGATCCATCGGACATGCCTTGTTGAGATCGGTGTAATCAACACACATCCTCCAGGTTGGCGGCTTCGGGGCCAGGACCACGTTTGCCAGCCAGGCCGGGTACAAGACCTCCCGGATATGCTTGATACTCAGGAGCATATTGACCTCCTTCTTCACGAATTCCCTCCTCTCGGTTGAGAGGTGTCTTCTCTTCTGCTGGATGGGCTTCGCCATTGGATTGACCGCCAGCCGATGGACAGCGATGCTTCGGTCAAGGCCAGGCATGTCCTCCGGTCCCCACGCGAAGACAACGCTAAAAAGGACAAGTACCTGGATAATCCTCTCCCTCAAGCCGGCCGGGAGCCCGGTCCCGATCTTGACCTTCCGCTCCGGCCTCTCGGGGTCAATCTGGATCTCCTCCACTTCTGAGGTGGGTTCAGCGCGGAGCTGACCCTCCTCATACTTCATGGCTTTGCTGTTGATAGTGTGGACCCTCAAGTCTTTTTGACCGATTTGTTTGCAAGCTTTCAGATAGTAGCTCCTCGCCATTCGCTGATCTCCCCTGGCAACTCCGACGCCATTCGGAGTGGGAAACTTCATGCATAGGTGCTCCTGGGATATCACACATCTGAGGTCTTCCAGGGCCGGCCTTCCCATGATGATCTTATGCGCACAAGTTAGGCGTACGATGATAAACTCGACGTCTAACTTGGATACGCAGGGCTCGGAGCCCACCATCACGGGGAGGACTATGCTGCCCTCTGACTCAATGGAGTCCCCGGTGAAGCCCGAGAGTGGGGTTCTCACCGGGATCAAGTCTTTTCGGTCCAGCCCGAGACCTTGGAAGGTGTCATAGTACATGATGTTAACAGAGCTCCCATTGTCCACCAGGACTCGGTGGACGATCGTGTCGTTGATTTCGACCTTGATGACCAAGGCATCCCTGTGTGGCGGAGGCATCGGCGGCAAATCTGCGTCGGTGAAGAAGATGGGGTCCCTCTTCACCCTCTTGTCGGCGGGAGCCCTGGTTATCTCCCCCACGTATAGGGCTCGGGCCCACTGCTTCCGCTCTCCAGAGGTGTCGCCTCCCTGGGGTCCCCCGAATATGAATGAACATCGATGGTACTTCCGGGGGCCGCTCCCTAGGTCGGCATCGTCTTCCTCGGAGAAGGCGCCGAGCTCCCGCTTCTTGGCAGGTGGTGTCTCCTTTGACGTGGTAGCTTGGTCGGACCGCTGCCACGTCAGGCTCCTCTTCTGCGGGATGCCTCCTTGTTTGCCAACGAATTGGCCCAGGTACCCTTTCTGGATGAGTTCTTCAATTTGCCGCCGGAGAATGACGCAATCATCTGTATCATGCCCTGCTCTCCGATGGAATCGACAATATTGGTCGTGGTTGCGCTTGGCAGTCACCACATCACACTCCTCCGGAAAGTCGACTAAACCTTGCTCCTCCGCGTAGTCGAGGATGGCCCCGACCGGCTGAGCAAGTGGAGTCAATTGCTTGACGGGCTGTAGCGGTCCGCTCGGGACGTCCGCCTTGCCCTTGCCTCTACTTTTGTTACCTCTGTACTTGTTGTTTTTGTTGCTAGCTTTGCCGTCAGCTTTCTCAGCACTCGAACCGGCTTCCTTCTTCTTTTCTTCTTTTGCACCTTCTTCCTCATCTCTTTTCCTCTGCAAGGCGTCCTCCGCCTCGGCTTGCCGGTCGGCACGGCCGAGCGCCTCCTCGTACGAGGTAGGGGGACTTCTGACGAAATCTTTGTAAAGCTCACCCGATCGGATAGAGTTTGTGAGCATGGCCACCCCGGTCCTGTCATCAAGGCCCTGAACCTTGACTGACTCGGCCCTCCACCTCGCTAGGAAGGTCGACAATGATTCCTTCTTCCCCTGTTTTAGGCCGAACAGGTGGCTGAAGTTTTTCTTGACGTCTCGGGAGCTCGCGAACCTCAAGAGAAAGCGCTGAGCCAACTCACGGAAATTCGTGATACTCCCGTCGGGTAGAGAGTCATACCATTCACGAGCCGGGCCATCCAAAGTGGCGGAGAAACCGCGGCATCGGATTGCGTCCTCGTACCCCATCATGACCATGTAGGAAAGGTACCGAGATACATGATGCTGGGGGTCCGAAGCGCCCTTGTATGCTTCAATGGCGCAAGGCTTGTAGCCCCTCGGCAACGGCGCATCCATGACCGCCCGGGTGAAGGGTTCGGGTATCCGGAGGTCGGCCGTGTAAGGCTCCCCCCCGACAACCCTCCTTCTCAACTCGTCAAGGCGCTGTCGCAGATCTTCCACCTCGGTCGGCGGTGGGTTCCCCCGGACAGCTCCAGCGCGGGGCTGGGCATGTCCGGCGGCACCTCCAAGTCGTCCGTGCACGTGAGGTCGGGGCCCCACGTTCTGCCTCTCCGTGGAGCCAGTCCGACTGCTCGCCCGGTGAGAGTGGCGAGAGGGCTCGCCTCCTTCCATCTGCGTTGGGCACCCCTGCTGGGCGCCCCTCCTCGTCTGCCGATGGGGTCGGCTAGGCTGCTGAGAGACTTCTTCCCCCCGCCGATGGGAGACTTCTTCCCCCCTGTTTTGGTTGGATCCAGAGCGTCGCTCATCACGCCGCCTGGAGGACACCTCCACATCCGCTGGCGTCTGTTGACGGGCAGGCTCATCCACATTTCCGCCAGACACCATCTGTTGGAAATTTTGAGCCAAGGTCCCCAGAACCCGAGTTGCCTCCTGCAGGGCTTCCACCCCGGCATTGAGTCGAGCCGGGTCCATGCGCGGAGCATGACGTCGGCCTCCCCCCCCCCCCGGCTGCGGACCGAGCGCTCACCTTGAGTGTGGTTGAGCGTCGCCCTTAGGTCGCCGTGGCCTGATAATTGGTTCCGAAGGTCGCCTTGGCGCGCCGCCCTCCTGCCCTGTGCATGGTTGTCGAGGGCACGCTGGCGGCCAGACCGGGCGGACTCCTCGGTGTGGACTAAGACATGGTCACGTCGAGACGAGATTCCAGCCATCTTCCTGTGTGATTCCTACTCAAGTTATGTGAGAGACAATAGAGGCTCTCAATGAAAGCACCAATGTTGGTCCAAAATAGGACGCTCGTAGGCTTTTAGGAAAGCTACGTACGACACTCAAGCAGGAATTAGGAAAGTACGAATATGGAAAGTTAGCCAGAAATAGCATGTCTGTATTTGAAATTCGAATTGCCTTTTATAGGCGATTACAAATGGTAACTGTCGAACATAATAATGACTAAATTAATTACAACATTAATACAGAATTAAACACATAATTAAGTCGCACATTAATTGTTGGCCGTTACTCTTCTTGGCTGGCAGGCTGGACGCTTGAGCTCCCTCCTGCTGGACTGGATGATGGGCTTCCCGCTAGGCTGGAGGAAGGCTTCTGACCGGGCTGGAGGCAGGCTCCCGGGTAGGCTGGAAGGCAGGCTCCCGGGTAGGCTGGACCGCAGGCTTCCAGTTGGGCTGGACCGCAGGCTCCCAGCTGGGCTGGTGGTCGGCAGGCTCCTGGCTAGGCTGGAAGGTAGGCTCCCCACTGGGCTGGAAGGCAGGCTCCCGGGTAGGCTGGACCGCAGGCTCCCAGTTGGGCTGGACCGCAGGCTCCCAGCTGGGCTGGTGGTCGGCAGGCTCCTGGCTAGGCTGGAAGGCGGGCTCCCCACTGGGCTGGAAGGCAGGCTCCCGGGTAGGCTGGTCCGCAGGCTCCCAGTTGGGCTGGACCGCAGGCTCCCAGCTGGGCTGCTGGTCGGCAGGCTCCTGGCTAGGCTGGAAGGCGGGCTCCCGGGTAGGCTGGACCGCAGGCTCCCAGTTGGGCTGGACCGCAGGCTCCCAGCTGGGCTGATGGTCGGCAGGCTCCTGGCTAGGCTGGAAGGCGGGCTCCCCACTGGGCTGGAAGGCAGGCTCCCGGGTAGGCTGGACCGCAGGCTCCCAGTTGGGCTTCCGCTCCTTGATTGCCCTGGTTGGTTGGGCTGACTCGAGCTCTGGGTTGCTGGGCTTGGGCCCGCTGGTCCAAGTTCGGGGCCTGGGCCGATTAGGCTCTGGGTCTAGTCCCATAACCCCATCAAAAATATATTTTTTTGTTCAACTAGAAGTGCACTTTTATTTTAAGTGTAGAAACACACCTTTGGCTTATCGTAATGCACTTTCAAGAATTGATAATGCACACCCCATGAATAATTCGATAAAGTGCAATGTGTGAGTGTAAACGCATCAAAAATATTAACATGCACTTTTATAAATAACACTTTTCATCCCATTAACATGCACGTGTTATCTCATTAACTTACATTTTTATTGAAGTTGTAATTTCACAAATAAACTCATACATGTGTACAATTTTTCCATATGTACAAAATGCATTATTCGAAGGATCACACACCAGATGTGCATTATTAATAGAATATTGGTGCACTATATTTACCAGTACATGCATCATTCTTTCACATGTGAAGAATGCACAATTCGAGGGATAAAAATGCACAAACATTGTTCAATACAAATTCCGGATATGTATCAACTAGTCATATTTTAGTCGATACACGATATCATAATGTGAAAATCGTATGTCCAAAGTGCACAATTAAAACAATTTAAAAGTTGACATAGTCACTAGTATTTAATATATAATACGTAAAAAATAAAAAAATGTATAATTAGAAGTATTCAAAATGCACTATTAAAATCATAAAAGTGCATAATATGTTAAATGGAATGAAGTATTACGTAATAGAAAATAAAAAAATAAATATTCAACATCTTGAAAGGTGATTGTGATAGCTAGCAAAAAGAATTAATACATATGGAATTGAAGAACACAAAAAAATGTAAATACCACTTTGATTTGTAAGCGATTAGGAAGTGTAATTAATGCACCTAAAAAATAGGGGGCCAAATATTCGGATGGTGATGAACGAACAAAGTGGAGTGCGTATACCGTGCAACCGGTATACGGTGAGCACCGTATACCGGGACGGTTTATATTTTATTTTTCCTTTTGTTTTTAAAAAATGGTTATAACTTTTTTATTTTTGATCCGATTTTTATAAAATTTATATCAACATTTTTTATTTTTCATGATCTTTCAAATGACACCAATATTGCCTATGTAATTTTAACATATTAACATTTGTGTGTAAAATATGTAACTTTAAGTGTTAAAATATGTAACTCACGTTCAGTCAAGTCAAATGCAACTCGTGTGTATAAATATGTATCTCTACGTGTAACAATATGTAACTTGCGTTCAGATAGGTCAAATGCAACTCGTGTGTATAAATATGTAACTCGTGTGTATAAATATGTAACTTAACGTGTAAAAATATGTAACTTTACGTGTAAATATATGTAAGTCGCGTTCATGCATGTCAAATGCAACTCGTGTTTATATATATGTAACTCGCTTTTAAAAAGATGTAACTTGCTTATAAAAAGATGTAACTTGTTTATAAAAAGATGTAACTTGCTTATAAAAAGATGTAACTCGCTCATAAAAAGATGTAACTCAATGTATTATCAAATGTAACTGAGGCCACTGATCCACTCCCAAACAGATTCGATCTTCTATTTCACAAACCTATCATCTCCCAAACAGATTCGATTTTCCTTATAATCCAATACTCATTAATATAATAGTTCGATAATTTCTTAAAATTACATAAGCAATATTGGTCTCATTTGAAAGATCATGAAAAATAAAAAATGTTGATATAAATTTTAAAAAAATCGGATCAAAAATAAAAAAGTTATTATCATTTTTTAACAACAAAAGCAAAAAAAAAAAGGGGGGGGGGGGGGGGGGGAGGAGGCAAGCTGCGTCGTTTTGCAACCGGGCGCACCATGAGGATGGTGCGCCGGTTGCATGGTATAATTTGCGAACAAAGTGAAATAAGGTGAATTCTCAAATTTGCCCAATTATCCTGTACGTGATTCTCCAGATTCTTTGGTCAATCTAATGGCTAAGATCTATTCTTTTTTCTCTCTTAAGATTATATTCTATCTGAAGACTATGTCCTCCGGAGGAGGGAAGCCAGCCAACCAAATGAGGGAGGAAAAATAGCACCAAAATTCGAAGGCCCCTACATCATAGCAGCCATCATCAAACCCGGGACTTACAAACTCAAACGCCCCAACGGGAAAGAGGTCCCTAGGCACTGGAATGTACACCATTTAGTCAAATTTTATCAATAATGTAAGAGCGGCCAAGCCCTCATAACTAGTGAATGTACTATCCAATGGCCCAAGGCCTCCAATTTCGAAGAATGAAGATACATTCAAGACATCAAGCCCTCATACTGACTACAGGCCCCAGGCCTCACCACAAGGAGAACCCCCTCCGGTACCCATTGCCGAGGGCGGACACCATCAACACCTACAACAAACAGTGGATACACCACGTGTTTTCAGTCAGGACCCCTCGGCACCCAGTGCCGAGGGTACTTCCCCACCTTCAACATAAAAAAAAAAAAAAAAAGAAAAGAAAAGATTAGAACACCAAGTGTTCCTACAGAAGACCCTTCGACACCCAGTGCCGAGGGTACACCTCCCTCATCAAATATCGAAACGAAGAAAAAAAACACCAAGTGTTTCAAAGAAGACCCCTCGGCACCCTGTGCCAGGGATATGCTCTCCCAACAGCTTCCAAACATCATTGGGAAACACCAAGTGTTTCATTTGAAGACCCTTCGGTACCAAGTACCGAGGGTAGACGCCTACATCAACTACAACAAGAGAACACCAAGTGTTCCTACAGAAAACCCCTCGGTACCAAGTACCGGGGGCTACACATCGAAACTAACACCAAGTGTTGTTTCTAAAAGCCGTACCCCACGAGGACGCATATACCGAAGGCGCCACCATCGGTGCCGGCGGCACGTAGTGCCCCCGGCCATTTGCAACTAGTGTGCAAATGAAAACCCTTCCTTGAAACGCTTTCCGCGTCACTACCCCCAGGGTATGACAGGCATGAGAAATGCCCAGGATTCGACTTTCAAAAACGGAACGCTATCCGCGTCATTACCCCCAGGGTATGACAGGCATGAGAAATGCCCAGGATTCGACTTCCCAACTGAAACGCTCCCCGCGCCAACACCCCAAGGGTGTGGCAGGCCACAGACTATGTCTAGCGCCGAGGGGACGACTTTCAAAAATGAGGCGCTTTCCGCGCCATCCCCCAAGGGGAGGCAGGTTACGGACCACCATATCTTGTGCCCAGGAAACGTCCCTCGATCCCCTCGGCACTCGGAAGGTTAACCCGAGGGAGGAGAGCCATTGGTGTATTCTGATGGTCTCCTAATAGGCCCAGCCTTACCAAGAAACCAAGTTTCTTGATGCCTTCCCTTCACCACCAACCAAAAAAAAAAAAAAAAAAAAAAAAAAGGGGGGGTGAAGGGGAGTAGACTCAGCAAGAAATCGAAGAGTACACTCCAACAATATCACAGCATGCCGAGGGCTCCCTACGGGAACACCTCCGGTAATTGAAGACTCCTATTTCCCGAAGGATACTACTCAAAGAAATATCATCAGGAAACGGCTAAAGTCCACTACCTGTCCACCTCCGGTCACAAAGGGACTGGACTGTCCAAGGTCCACTAAACAGTACCTCGAACAAACACCGAAGGCATCTGTTATGCACGAATACCGAGGGCCCTTTCCCCATGACAAGGGTCAAATTCTACAACTTTTAAAGTGCATGCCGAGGGCACACACTCCTCATTGGCTTTCTTCACAACAACAGGATTCAACATCAATTTATGCACGAAAACCCGAAGGCTACACAGGGAAGCAGCACTACAAAAAATTCTAATTCCTAAAGATTGGGCCCCCGGCCCAATCAATATTAAAGCCAAGGGGATATGGTGGCCGAAGGCCATGCAATACAACAACACTTAAAAAAAGAGGGTATTCTGTCCTAAATGAGTAGCCCCCGGGGCATCTCACAAAGTGATATGGAATCAAGGAGGGATGCCATCTACCGAAGGCTCCCAAGGGGGATTTTACACTTAGAATATTTTCTAAGTCCTACATGCTTTCCCCCCGGTCAGCTACTCTTACATCAAGGAGGGATGCCATCTACCGAAGGCTCCCAAGGGGGATTTTACACTTAGAATATTTTCTAAGTCCTACATGCTTTCCCCCCGGTCAGCTACTCTTACATCAAGGAGGGATGCCATCTACCGAAGGCTCCCAAGGGGGATTTTACACTTAGAATATTTTCTAAGTCCTACATGTATTTCCCCCCCGGTCAACTACTCTTACATCAAGGAGGGATGCCATCTACCGAAGGCTCCCAAGGGAGACTTTACACTTAGAATATTTTCTAAGTCCTACATGCTTTCCCCCCGGTCAGCTACTCATACATCATGGAGGTATGCCATCTACCGAAGGCTCCCAAGGGGGATTTTACACTTAGAGTATTTTCTAAGTCCTACATGTATTTCCCCCCCGGTCAACTACTCTTACATCAAGGAGGGATGCCATCTACCGAAGGCTCCCAAGGGAGACTTTACACTTAGAATATTTTCTAAGTCCTACATGCTTTCCCCCCGGTCAGCTACTCATACATCATGGAGGTACGCCACCTTCCGAAGGCTCTCGAGGGAAACTCTACACTTAGAAGATTTCCTAAGTCCTACGTATTTCACCCTCATCTCAAGGGACCTAATAGCCGGAGGCTACCTATCAATCGAGGGCTACAGTTCACAAGTAATCAACACTCAAGAAAACATTCTAAGTCCTAAAACATACATTCCAAGGATCAAAACATACATCCAAATCAAGACGAAGGCATGCATTCAACAACAGACAAATCCAAAAGAAGCAGATTGCATATCAAAGGCCCGAGGGCGTGTGTACTCATTCATTCAAAAAAAAAGAGACAAGTTTGATTGTACTTTACATAGGGGGCCGAGGCCAACAAATTACAACACCGAAAGGGGGGAATACAATTTAAGAAGGGGGAATAGTAGATATCGCCTCGCTCTCGGCTTCATCCTCTTCACCGCCAAGGCCGCACTCCCGGAGGGTCTCCGAGTCTTCAAGAACCG